TGGCCTTTATCACATAAGCTATCCGTTCCAATTCCTACCTTAATAGGTTCCGGATGATGCTGAATGGTAGGGGCAGCCTGGCAGGCCACTTTTCGAAAAGATACTGGCCGGATACCATCCACAAGCTCCCTCGGCTTGTTTCTACGTCGACATGCCCCCGTCTTCTGCCTCCCCTCCCATTCACTCACGTCCACTGAGATACATGTTCCGAGGAGGAGGTCAATACCTCACCTTACTTGCATATCCTTACAGCCATGCAGCTTCCACGCAGTCCTGATGCATGCCCTGCAACTTGGAAATCTGTTCGAGCATCGACGTGCATCGACGAACATCGAGACGTTGCGGCGGACCGGCTGCTCGCCAAAGGGAGAGCCGACTTGTGGATATTGATGAAGGCTGTTGGCTGTTGAGTAAGCGCTGCCAAATGCTTACATGGACAGTGAGACGGCAAGTATCAAGTGAATATATTTGGAGTCTGCCCAGTGGAGGCGTACCATCCAGCTTCAGTCCCTGATGACTGGTACATTGCCTCTTCTGGTGTCTCGTCTCAAATTGACGTCTCGACTCGACAGTGTCGCGGCAGGCTCCCTCGCCCAGTATTGGGAATTCCAACTTCAGGCACGGGGTGGAAAGGAGAAGCTTCGCAGGAATTCGAGGTAAGCGCGTAGACTTGGTCCAGTACCTAAGTGGAAGGGCGGTCGGCCTCGAACAGTTTGTTGTGCTTGATGTGGTCGGCCGGACATGATACCTCAGACTCATGGGATTGAGGAAGAAAGAAAACCTGTAAGGGAAAAGTGACGATGGTAGGAAATCTATTGACTGTTAATCCTAGGTGAAGAAAGGTAAGGTAAGTGCTTTCGAAAGGTACAGAGTTTTACCTACCTAACCTCCCGTTGAAAAGTTGAAGGCAGGCACGTTCTTGAAGGCAGAGTGTACCGGTACCTTCCTCCGGTTCGGCCACCCCCACCCCGTCCTCCTCCTTCTCAGCGATGGAGTTCCCGTCAAGTTCTTGCGCTAGCGTCCTGTTGCTCAAAGTGCAGTGTCCAATGTCGTCCCTCGTCCCTGGCCCCCCTTGGTCCCAGATTCCCAGTCGGTGTCCTAGTCGCCGTTGCAGTTTGCAGTTGCAGTCGCAGTTGGTCTTTCCCACCCAGCAGTTTTCGATGTTGAGGAGGTGCACCTCACACCCTTCCTCCCCGGCCCTCCCCCTTCGCTCCTTCTACTTGTTGCATATCCGCAACAAGGCAAGGTACCCAAGGCAGAAACCTTCCACGACCTCAGGTGAAGCAAGGCACCTCGAGTTAGGTACCTACCTAGGTACGTAGGACAGATAACGTATGATACCTTAGGCAGATACGTCCGCACTTACCTAGGAATACAGAGTGCCCGCCCAGCACATAGAAATTTGATGCTCCGACATGTAAAAGTGTTAGACGGTCAAGGGCATGTGCGGGTTGTGCGTCGGGCGCCTCCCTCGTCGGTGCAGTGCTAGTGTGCTCCGTACACAGTAATGAAGTAAAATACGGTATCCAGTTGGCACCTTCCTCGACTTCCATCTCCTTCGCCCCTCCACCCCCATCCTCCACCGTCCATCCCTGCCTCGTCTCCTCGCAGTCGCTGCTGCCCCGGTGTGCCCCCAAGGTACCCAAGACTGCCTTACCTCACATTGGTATTCTCCTTCCTCCTCCTCCACTTCTGGTGCTTGGCTGGAAATTTGTCGCTGCCGAACTCCCCCAAGTGCAGGTGCAAGTTGCAAGTTGCAAGTCACAGTACCTCGTACGGATACAGAGACAACCTGAGCCTACCACTTCCTCCTGTGTCCTCCTCCACCAGACCACCACCCACTGCGCGACTGCCAACTGGAACTGGGCCTTCCTTCCGCATCCGCTTGGCTGTGCTGCCCCCGTACGAAGTACCTTTCCAAGTCCCTGCTGCTTCTGCTCCTCCCTCTCACATTTGGCTCTCCCACTCATTTTTTCTCATGTATTTTTGTATTTTTGATTTCATTTTCCACGCTCGCCTCTTTTGATCCTGCCACCCCGAGACTGGCTGCACTAGCAAACGCAAAAAGTCATCATCATCATTCTCTCTGTGACTTCCTCCCTGCCCTGCCTGCTCTGCTGGCAATGACTGCTCGACTTCTTCTCACTGCCTCGAGTCCCACATCGCCTTGCCACGGTCCGAAGTCAAGCCAAGGCACAGGCCTTGAACACCAGAGAGAGAGAGAGAGAAAAAGATACATAGTTACCAGCATCACTCTACCTAGGTACCTTAGGTTGTCCGACCCGGACGCTACCTTCTAATACCCAGACCACCTCACACACACATCCACCCACCCACCTACTAACCCATACGTCCGATTCGACCCGCCAGTTCGCCGTCGTCTCGTTTCCCGCATACCTCTTTGCTCTTCTCCGTCTTGGAGCATTCGCCTGATTTCTCTCCATCACCTCAAACCGCACCAGCCGACGACCGCCACCTCGAAACGAGTGCCCTCACACCAAACTCCGCTGCAAAGGAAATTCATCTTCCGCATCTCTGGCCAACAAAAAAAGAGTCTTTCTTTGCTCTACCTCTCTCCTGCTTTCGTACCCGTTGATCGTTGACTCGAGCCCGCGCAACAACTTCGAGGAACAAACCCCGTCCCTCTTTTCCCCTTTGGTGAGTGGTTTCCCTGTCAGTCCGCTACAACCCCTGCGCAAAAAAAGCCGCGAGACATTTAACCGCGCCGCCGCCCATACCCAAAAATTTATTTTCCCTGTCTTTCCCGTTGGCCTCTCCCCTGACACTGCGGCGCCGTCTTTCAACCCATCCCTTTGCGACACCGTTCCCCCTGAGGCTTCTCAACCGCGCCTCTGGTCTCGAACATCGCCTTGAGAAGACCTGAACTGATTTTTCCCTTCTTCCAGAAAGGATCAGAAATCTCTCGACCGGCCTTTTTCGCGCGGCACTTTCGTCTCGACCTCTCAGACAACAACTGTGGCCGACCGGGTTTCATCTCCCTCAACCACAAGCATCACCATGTCCTATTACGAGAACAACCCGCAATGGTCCAATCCCGGCCAGAACAACTGGGAACACCAAGCGCCTCCTGCCCGTGCTGGTGAGTCGGCCCAGTTGTCGCAACAGCACCAAATCGCAAAACCAGACGCCGGAATTGACTCGAGGTTCTCGCCAACAGGTGCCAGCGGCCCAACGCCCCAGGACGACTTCGCATTCTTCTACCAATTCGAGGGTAGGTCATCCCGAAATCTTCGGCGCGCGGCAATCCAATACCATGGCGCGGGCGTCTGTCCATCGTCTACCCGCGCCTACAGTGTGCCGCGCGCAGGAAGAGCAAGGCTGACGAGATAATTACTATAGACGTGGTGCGGACACTAACTGCTAGGCCTACAGAGGTTGATCGTGCGTACGAGAATCTCGCCAAGGGCGGGAAGTCATACGGCATGGGCGGTCGCGGACGTGAGTACCCAACCCCTGGTGGTCCCAAGATGGGTCCCGCCGGTCATGGTCCCGCCAGAAAATCCCTCGACTTCAGTAAGTCTGCCCGCAACTGGCGGGCATCACCGCAGCCTTCCCGATACTAACTTGTAACGCGCAGCCGGACGCATGGGAGCCGGAGCCGGTCCCGGACCCAGACCGCACTCGATGAACCAGTTCGATGATGCCCGAGGCCACCCCAACTCGAACCTCCAGAACTTTTACGCCTCCCAGCGCCACCAGCCCTCCCGAGGCTCCAACGACGCGGAACAGATGATGCAGGCCAAGAGAAGGATGGCCGCCCAACGGGAGCGGGAACTGCGAAACCTGCACACTGAGCAGCAATACCAACGAAGTAGGCCGCCCTCTTCTGTATAGCACACATACTCCATATGCCAGGGGGGAACCAGCAAAGCAGAAAAATAGATAATTCAGGCCGAGGGGTTTCACCATCATGCGCATCCTGCTGCCCCGTCATGTCACTGTCGAAAGATGCTATCCTGAAAGATCCTTCGTCCATCCCTTCCCCGTAATACCGAGAGATTTCGGAGGAAGCCATGCTAATCAACTGTGCGCGCAGCCGTCGTTTCTGACATCCCCTACGGTGCCAAAGCCATGTCCGAGGAGGAGACTCGCGACTTGATTGCTCGTCAGCGGAGCGCCTTGTACGGCGAGGGTCCGTTTGCTGAGAAGGCAGGTTATGTTGACGAGAACGGAGTCGTGCGCACTGGTGTCCCGACCCACAGCGGCCCCTCCAGCCTGCGTGGTCAATCTCCCTTGACCTACGATCCGGCTCGCGGCCCGCCTCCTCACGGTGATGCTCACACTCCCGTTTCGGCTACTGATGCTGGTCCCGGGCCCATTGCTGGACCCCCGGGCGAACAAGGCTCGCGTGGTGGCAGCATTGCCAGCCCTCAGCCAAACGCTCCGAGCAACAACAAGAGTGCGTTCGAGTCCGCGGTCAACCAGGCTGCGGCCCGCACCAACAATTCTTCGCCTGGCGGCTCCCCGCCGCGTCAGGAGCTTCCGGCGGGAGCCAAATCGGGCCAGACCGTTGCTCCCATTGGCACCCGACCTTCAGGAAACCAGGCTGGAGCCTCGAACCCGTCCTCGAAGAGATCAACCACTCCATTGGCATCCCCTGGCGGTTGGGGCCGTGGAAATGGGGTGTGGGGCCCCCAGTCTTCCGGCCTGAGCCAGCCTCCCGCGAGCGTCTGGGGCTAGAAGAACTCGACGCCTTGAACCGCATCACGTCTTTTGGAAACGTTGGCGCAATTATGGAATTGAACAGGAAGAGAATGATGGTTAGGAGGTTTGCGCGGGTGGGGTTTCAGCTTGATTTCAACATCGATTGATTTTCCACGGTCACGGAAAACTTGATATATACCTCGGTCTCGACACGGTACTCGGAGTGAGGGTGTCTTTCGGCATCTTTTGAGGAGTTTTCTTTTTACACCATAAGCAGGGGCCGAATCCTGCAACCTCGGAGTCGAACAGTATTGCTACGGGGTAAAAGGAGATGCATGTCAAATGAACACGAAAGAGGGGGCCAGCAGTTGTTTAGGGTGTTGGCAGGGAGATCACAGCGTGAAGGAACTGTTTCGGGTGATCTGGGAAATTCAGGCGACTGTGAACACGGAGCAGGGCGATTCGTTTTTCTGTTCTTTTGGGCAGATGTCCGTTCGGGCTGGGCATGGAATGATTCGGGTGCCAAAAGCGTCGGAGGGCAACCTATGATTCGAATTGCAAGCATACAATACGGCGTGGGCGTGGATTCCGACATCTGGTTTGACTCGAATGGGTTGGGACTGGGAAACACACATCCGGGGAGTTGGTACAAAGCACACAAGACGACTCTTCTTTTCACACGGCGAAAAAAATCACACAAAAAATCAGGGATTTGGGGAATCGGGGTGTTTCTGGATTCTTACTTTGGGGGGGATCCGTTTTTCCTTGTCTTTCTGCTACGGGGGGTTTCCACACCGGAAGGTTGCGCCGCAGGAGTTCTTCACTTGCCTTTCCAGCCCTTGGCTGCTTCTGGGACACCGGGACGGTCAGGGCTATAATGAGGTTTCGTGATTCTTTTTCGACACGGAAAAGAAGAGGGAAACTTGACCGCATCAAGAGAGGGGGTTTTGGTCGGGAAAGATGCGGATTAGATCATCAACATGGGTTTGCGTTGGAGACGGATCGGATGGGACTGTTTTTTCTTCATAGTTTTGTTTTGGCACGCACGCTTCGCTCAGGATAGAGCAGCAACCTAATGAAAAACACATGGATTTTGGTCTCCCCCCAAGTTTTGTTTGGCCTCTGAATGTTCGTGCTCGTATGCTAAAGTTGATGATTTGCTGGAGAGCAAGGAGTGACGGGAGAGCATAATCCTCAAAGGTCTAGTGTAGAGCCCTCTTTTGGTTCGGATAGGCCCGAACCTTGAGTCTGTTAGTAACTTTGCCAGAAGAAAACGTGAGGGAAGGTCACAAACTAAATGATGGGGAAAGGGAAAAGGGTATTAAGATCTACGGAGTAACAGCCGGTAGTTGATATTTTCGCTTTCACTAAACCCCCCCCCCCCCCGATGATGGGTGACAAGGTGTGATGGACCGGGGGTGAACGTTGTCTAGCGTGCTGGAGACAGTAAGGCGAGGGGATTACGGGGGTAAGTTTCCGGCCCGACGGCCTAGTAGAGATTTGCTGGGAAATGGGCATTCCTTCCATCGTGATGAGTGCGCTCGGACTATTGAAGTGTGATGATGATGATGATGTGCTTCTGCTGTTCTTATTTGCTACCTTGGTGTGTGTGTGTGTGTGTGTGTGATTGCCACGGGTACATGGTCCGTGGGAGGAGGTGGTTACTCATTGGGTGAAGCTTTGAAGGGTTAAAGGGGGTATTGGGTGAAAGGGTCCGGGCCGGTGGCTTGCGGGAGGTTCCGTTGCCGCTTCCGCCCGTTTGAACCGTTTTTCTGGAAGGGGGGGATGGCCGCGGCGCTCGGTTCGGTCGAGGGGTTATTCTTTATTTGGGGGGAAGAAGAGAATTGGGGGCGAGTTTCAATGGTTTCGTGGTGTGTGTGTGTGTGTGTGGTTTTGGATTGATTGTTGAAGGGGTGGGATGCTTTACGTGCTGCTTGTTATTGATATTGGGAATGTGGATATATTATGCGGAGCTTAAGGTAGGTAGGTAGGTATGGATGGGAGCTGTTGGAGATGTACGGGTAAGGTGAGAGGCTTTGAAGGTGTATGTTATTCTTGACTTGAGAGGGTCTGTTGACATGGTTCATCTTGATTTATTGAATTGACGCTTATCAGAAGTTTATAATGACATAGTCCCTCTTCCTCAGATCAATGTCCACCAAAACTGAAAGAAAGCTATGGATTTTGTACTTCATATTACGGGTTAGAGTGATACTCGGACGCCCGCTCCGATTCTGTCAATCCAATGCAAGGCTTATCCTTTTTCTCTTCAACCTCAAATGGACGCAGTCACCAAAGTAACGGCCACCGTCACCATCCAACATCCAATGTCGGAACCAAAATTGACCAAAAAGACGTCGGGAAACCGGGTATGTGGGACCCCCGGGCCGCGCCGGAGGATGGCACCGTGGGGCGGGACGAACGGAGCGGGGCGGGGGTGTTGAAGACTAAAAGAGGTCGGGTCGGGTCTGGGCGGCCTTGCCAACGACCAACCTCACGGGTCTCGGGTCTCGGTACATGCGGCCTTCACCATGTACTACTTACCATCAATCTCATTCCCCCCCAACAGCTACTCGGGCGTATCCTTTGCAAGTTTATTGACCTTGGAGGGCAAGCCGCGTTTCGTCGGCTTTGTTGAGGATGTGTTGTTTGGTTCCGGGAATTACTTATGAGGAGAGAGGACGGCCACCAACAGGCAATACCCTACTTACGTACCCAGCTTCACGATATGGGTTCTCGTTGAGTTCGACTTACAAGGAAGTAGAAGAAAAGGCCCGCTGTTGGAGACGAAGAGTTGTTCATTTTTGTCCGAGAACCAGGTCACAGCGTGTTGGAAGGCAAACAAAACCCAAGGACTCATAGGATGAGACGTCCAACACAACCTAATACGACGGACTCGGAATTTGATCATGACTATGGACTATAGACCCCTCCTCCTAAATTTCCCACATCTCACCATTCGCGCATGTGTTGATCAATATGCAAAGAGTAAGACGCAATGGCCCTGTGTCGCCATCAACATTACCACTAGCAACGCATCCCACAACGGAACTTAACCCGTTTGCGGCATTAATATCTAAGCTGTTCACCGGACAAATTCTTTCGAACGCTGTTCTTGCTGTACTTCTTCTACTTCAACTTCCGTTAGCCTGTCCGAAGTTGGGAGGGAGATCACTGTTTCAACAGCCAACAGTACAGACCACGGACCGATTGGTTCATCATCGATATCCTTCCTGTGAACCAGCCGCTGGATGCCAACGAGAAGGAAAGTTTGCACACAATCTTCCCGTTCATCGCCTTACGAGGATATGCCTTTATCGGTAGAGGGCGAATACTACACAACCTCAGCCAATCGGCCCCAAAGCCTAACAGTTGGAAGAACAACCACGTCATCTGGAAATATTGCTAATCTTGAACAATCTCATTGCATACCCAAACCGCGCTATCAAAGCCAATAAGTACGCCACCCTTACCGTCCGAAACCTTTTATAAAAACGCCTTACCACCGTACCTACATACCTCAGCCAGTCCCATCTGAGGGACAACCGTCTCCATGTGAACTCCTCCGTCTACACCCCCAAGACCTTAACCCCCATCTCCAAATCCATGGGATCATCAGCTCTCAAAGCCTTGCCACCCCAAACAACAGTCCCCCGCCCATCAACAGCGAACGCCCCAGCAGTCTGCCACTTATTCCCCATAACCGTACTCGCCCCTCCCTCCACGTCCTCCCCACCACCAACGCTCACAGCCGAAGCACCGCTCATCCCCGTGCCCCGTCTCTCCATCGGCGGAGGCTGCTTCCTCAAGTTCGCAGCGGTATACGCGGCGTTCTCAGCAGAAGCACCGCCCGTTCGCTGAATCGCCCCGGCCACCTTTTCCCCCAACCACCCTTTCTCCTTCCAGCCCTGGACCTGGCTCGTCGGGTTGAAGACGTACCACACATTGCCCAGCCCCAGGCCCCAGGCGGCGTAGATGGCGCGGTCCTCGTCGACGACGATTTGTACGTTCCAGGCGCCGCCGAGCATGTCGATCCACTTGTTGGTCGCGGCCTGGGAGGAGTGGGAGACCGCTATGCAGGTTAGGGTGCGGGCGTGTTTGTTGGCCAGGTCCCGTAGGGCAAGGAAGGTCTTCTGGGCGACTGTGTAGGAACAGGCAGATGTTAGTCACGGTGAGGCTTCTTGAAGAAAAGGCATCGTTGTGCCACATCACGTAACAGCCCAAAGGTGAAGGGGGGACGAGACAACGAGGTCCACAAACGTACAAGCACAACCAACGCAGCGTAAAAAGACAACGAGGACAGGACGACCACGGCCAAACTCAAGCTGCCTATCGCGGTCCAGCGGGGCGAGTTCACCAATCTTCGGGACTTCGCCGATGGGGACCGGCGGGGGCGGCGGGGAGAACCACGGCGCGACGGTGATGGGCAACGACTTCATCGACATCCACGCCGGCCAGCCCCCCGCGTTCCCGTCCGCCGCGTCGTCGTCGAGGCCCGCATTGGAACCCTTCTTGCTGCTCTTCGCGTCTGTCGAACCGCCGCCGACGCCACTGAAGTCGAAGCTCTTGCTGTTCAGGCCCACCTTCCTCAGGGCGATCTTGGTTGTCAAGCTCGATAGCATGGTGATCGATCTTTTCTTTTGATATGTGTGTATGTGTATGGGTGGGTGGGTGCGCGCGCTGCGTGTGGGTAACAGCAATGCGATCGATAGTATGTATCTCTGTTTCCAAGACTAAAGACGTCTCAGGCAAAGCAACGCCTTCTGCGGGAAACGGCTTGCAGGAACAGGCGGTGCGGGAAAAGAAGCAATAAGCGGGCAAGGATCAAATGGCTTGAGACGGCGTGCAGATGTAATGCAAATGCAAGATTGACTTTACGTAGATGGCAGAGAGAGGCATTGAGAAGAGGGAAAGGAAGAGGATAGAAACATGACCGGCATGCGCAAGGCGGCTGGCGGCATCCCCAAAAAGACCACCTTTGAGAAACTGGTGGGAGGGGGGAACGGCGAGAAGCTCTGGGGAACTTTCCTGAAACTTTCGATACAGGGCGCGTCGCATGTTTGCTTAGCGAGCGCCCTGAGCTCCTGGTCGAACCATGGGGAGAACCGCGTCGCGAGGCTGAAGCCGTCTGTCGGCTTGGCTTGACCTGACCTTCAGAGAACCCCTGATTGGGAGGAGGTTCCTCTCCGATGGTTTTTATCGCTGCATTGGGGACCTGGACGGTTGATCTTCAGCCTGGTGTTTTGCCAGGGTTGAAGAAGATCGGGCCCTCTGATTTTCCGCACCCTGTGCCTCTCCCGAGGAAAGAAACAAGAGACTCGAATAGAACAGACATTTATTTCGCTTCTACTTAAAGATGCGGGAGCTTGCCTTGAAATGGACGAAGGAGATTTCAGACCGAGAGACCGTTGGTTCTGGATCGCCGGATTTCGGAGAGCCTTTGCAAGGAATCTTAGGGAACGAGATCACTCGGCTCTGTTTCTTCTTGCCATTCCTTGAGGCGGGCTGGATGCCCCAAATCGAGCCAAACTTTCATAACTCAAAAGAGAGACCAAATATGACTGAGTCTTGTAGAGTCTGCGATCCGAGGTCCGAGGGGGTGCCGACCTTGCTGGAACGCGCGCCCGCATTCCTGGATGGCCAATCCCCGTCGAAACATTTGCATATTAATCGAGGCACAACTCACTTGAACCGCTCGATACAGCTCACCGAACTCTAAATGACGATAGCGACCTGCGGACTCCCTGAAAATTGACCGCATCGCGATAGCCTAGTAACTCGCAAGTGAGTTGATAGTATCCTAACGGCCATGGAGGAATTTGGACGGAGTCTTGCGGAGATAGTGCCATTGACGCTACAGCCATCGAAGGTGTCATGG